TGCACCATTTCTCTGTTAACTAAAGGTATTTTCTCTCTACTTTACACCAAATAAAGGACTGTTTGCACCATTTCTCTGTTAACTAAAGGTGTTTTCTCTCTACTTTACACCAAATAATAGACTGTTTGCACCATTGCTCTGTTATTACACTCTAATCTTCTTGATTTTTCTCTAGATGTCTGTGAAAACACTCGATGTGGCCCAAATGCCAACTGTATTGGTAGAAACCATCGACCAGAATGTCAATGTTTGCCAGGTTTCCATGGCAATCCTAGTGACTTTTCCCGAGGTTGTGAGCGTAAGTATCAATTTGAATGTTGTGTTATATGTTTTGAGATACAATAAATTGTTATAAATTGAGAATATAAACTGATTTGATGTTTTTTTTTGTTTGAACAATGACTAACTTGATGGTATAAATTTTATCATTAAATATATGACGTTCTGAATCATGAGTAATTTTGAATTGCTTTGCTTCACATTTATTTTACAGCTATTCCCCAAGATAAATGTGGAAGTAATACCGAATGTTTTGGAGAACAAGTTTGTAGATCAACAGATATTGGAATTAGGGATTGTATTGGTAAGTGTAATATAATAATAGTATCGCATGATTTTCGTACTGTTTGTGTTCTTATAAGTGTGTTAATAGTTGTAGACTCTAACTAATGCATTAACTTAAAAATGAGATCTTGCATTTTGGTTATTTTGTCATTCATTTTTTTCTGTTAGATTTTTTCCAAATATATTCTTTCAAGATTAGTGAGAATAAAAAATAAAGTGTGTTACTGATGTCTTCTTGTTTAAATACTTGTGTAACTCCCAATTTTATTCTTTCAAGATAAGTAGGAATAAAATATTAAAGTGTGTTACTGATGTCTTCTTTAAATACTTGTGTAACTCCCAATTTTATTCTTTCAAGATAAGTAGGAATAAAATATTAAAGTGTGTTACTGATGTCTTCTTGTTTAAATACTTGTGTAACTCCCAACTTTATTCTTTCAAGGTAAGTGGGAATAAAATATTAAAGTGTGTTACTGATGACTTCTTGTTTAAATACTTGTGTAACTCCCAATTTTATTCTTTCAAGATAAGTAGGAATAAAATATTAAAGTGTGTTACTGATGTCTTTTTGTTTAAATACTTGTGTAACTCCCAAGTTTATTCTTTCAAGATAAGTAGGAATAAAATATTAAAATGTGTTACTGATGTCTTCTTGTTTAAATATTTGTGTAACTCCCAAGTTTATTCTTTCAAGATTAGTGGGAATAAAATATTAAAGTGTGTTACTGATGTCTTCTTGTTTAAATACTTGTGTAACTCCCAACTTTATTCTTTCAAGATTAGTGGGAATAAAACTTAAAGTGTGTTACTGATGTCTGCTTGTTTAAATACTTGTGTACTCACAACTTTATTTTATCAAGATAAGTAGGAATAAAATATTAAAATGTGCTACTGTTGTATTCTGGTTTAGATGCTTGTGCAACTAAAGAATGTGGACCAAATGCACAGTGTCTTGGTGTTGATCACTCTGCCTTTTGCGAATGTCTGCCTGGATATTCAGGAGACCCAGACAATCCAATCCGTGGATGTCAACGTTAGTATTTCTCAAAACTTACTGCTTTTTGTTATTATGGCATAGAAGTAATAATGATCATAATAAAGAGGGAGCCACCACATATAATTAACAAGTAATGAACAAATTTAAAATTTTTCATTAACAAAACATTATTTTATTATTTAGATATTATAATCTGTTCATTTGTATTAATCAAATCATTTTCTCTTTCAGAATACTTCCATTTTTTTTATACATTTTTCATTGTGTTGCTCAGAGGACAAAATCAGATTTATTAATATGCTACATGTTTTATAATAACTAAACTTCAAGTTGCTGGATATTTTTCTTGGAGTTCTTTAACACGTTCGCGGTGTAGGTGATTTCTCTAATTATGCAATAGGAACGTCAAGCCTCATTGTGAACTCTATTTTGGATACTACTAATTTTATGGCTTTATGTTATGTTTTATGCCAGAATGATTGCATTCACAGCTTTCTCTCGAATGCATCACTGGTGGTGCACGGCGTCCTATCTTTACCCATTTAAGCTTTGGCTGTTATGTATAATTTTAAAATAAAAAGTGATTTAATCGAGTAAATTGGTTTTATTTCAAATTTACCACTGGTGGTGCACGATGTCGTGAATGTGTTAATAAATGCTAATACTGTTGTGTTATATAAATCATTTCTAAAGCAACAGTATGATTTGTCACAGGAGATCGGTGTACCTCGAGTCAGGACTGCCCTAACAGTCAGGTCTGTCTGAGACTTAAGCCTAATGGTATCAAAGATTGCATTGGTAGGTCTTTCCTCAATATTTTAAGTACTAATTCCCTCATAAAACAAATGTAAATATATGTGTGGTTTTTATTTGTGACATGTTGTGTTCTTATTGAATTTTTAAAACTTACAACTGTTTATTTTGTATATGAATCCTGAGTTATGTACGTGATATATTGTATTGATAGAGATCAGTAAAAAATAGAAACAAGGTTCAATTTTACTTTTTTGTTTGTTCTTTGAAGTTGCAGTGCAGGAGTACTATTTATGAAGGTAAAGGAGAGAATAGCTGCTTTTCCCTTCCCTGTATATGTAATATTGCTTGTTTATTTTGGAAATAATGCATACACACACACACACATACATATATATATATATATATATAAGTATACATAAAATGTATAGTTTATAGTTTTGAATGCCCCCTCCCCCAAAGTAAACTGATTTTTAAATTTCATCTTTTAAAAACTCAAGAAGTTTTATGTGCCTAACCTAAACCAAGTCTAACAGTTGCCCCCTTCCCCCCATTGAAATCTAAAATGGTGCCTTTACTGCTGTGCAAAACATAAAATAGACAACTAATAAAACAGATTTTTTATAAAACTATCCAATCTTTTTTTTAAGATGCATGTCAGATGAAACACTGTGGGCCAAACTCTGAGTGTGTCCCTACCCAACATCAAGCATATTGTGAATGCAAACCTGGATTCGAAGGTAGCGGGGATGACTTGCGAACTGGTTGCAAACGTAAGTATTGTTCTGTGGTCTTAGAAAATGATAGTTAAAAGGGAGAGTTTAACGTGATATGTTAATATGTACTGTTAGAAGAAACTCTAATTTTAGTTTCTCATAGTGAATGTTGTTTTTTTTCAGCTCGAGATAAGTGTAAGACAGACAGTGACTGTCTTCAAACTGAAGTTTGTCGTCTTAATAAAAATGGCATCAAAGACTGTTTATGTAAGTTTCATATCATTTAAGAATGTAGTTCTATTTCTGAACTGGACTAATCAAAATATAAATGAATATTGAGGATTACTGAAATTTAATCCAGGTTGTCAGAGAAACCTGTATCACAAAACTTGTTTTAAGTTTCGTAAACGGTAATTTAAAAGTTAAAAAATAATTTTTTTTTCCAAATATGTATTTATTTCTACTAATATTTCAGTGACTTTGAGAAAATTGCAAAATTAACCATGCTTAATAACTATAGATTAAATATAATGCTGTTTTGTTAATGCAACTTAATTTATACTTTATTCATCTTTATTATGATATATTGTGTTGTTGTTTTTTTTTGTATGGGTAAGCCAACCTCTCTGAAGTTAATGATAAAAAGTTTTCTTCATTGTTACTTAACCCCTGGTGTCTCAGCAGCAGGGCTGAGGGTTTGTAACACTAAAAATTGGGTTTACGTACCCATAGTGAGATACAGTTTCTTAATTCTTAGTTTGTGTTCAGCAATCCTTCTGTGACTAATAGTAAAAACAACAGTAATTGTTTGTTTCTGTTAAGGCAACATTTTTTTCAGGTAAATAACTGAAAGATTTTTAAATTTAATTTTATGTTCATCCAACCTCTAAAATCTGAATAAATGTTTTTAGATTGATAATCTGCATTCATCTAGCTTCTGTCTGTTTCTTTAGGTTCAATGCTACACCCAAAGTTATCTGCATTCAAACACCAGATTTTAGCATTATATAACCTGAGCCACTGGCGAGTTTCTTAGGGTACTAACAAAATTATAAATTGGTAATTAACATTATTAGCATTAGTTGTCATTGTTAGAAGTCTGCATAGTTACCTAGTCATTTACTATTACTCAACTTGTCTGGGCACCAGATGAATATATGAATAGTGCCTTCTGACCAGGACTTCTAAGTTTGGATCATGGCTTTGTCAGATGAAAATATTCTTACTCTGTACCATTTCAAAGACAGTAGCCAAAGCATCAATTAATAAGTATTTGGTTGATTTATAATAAGGAAAAATGACCATATAGCCTGCTCAGTAAAACAATTATTGAATTTTGATTGGTCCAACTTTACCTACATCATGACAATGGTTGAACTTTGATTGGTCCAACTTTACTTATGTCATGACAATGGTTGAACTTTGATTGGTCCAACTTTACTTACATCATGACAATGGTTGAACTTTGATTGGTCCAACTTTACTTACATCATGACAATGGTTGAACTTTGATTGGTCCAACTTTACTTACATCATGACAATGGTTGAACTTTGATTGGTCCAACTTTACTT